TCTCCAGAATATCGCTTGGTGTAGCAAAGCCTAACATATGATATCACAATGTCTAGTTTGAGAATGGAGATGGAGGCAGTCACTGCTGCCTTCCGCTGGCTTGAGAATCAGCTGTACTCACATGCTGTGATTTTAACTGATTGACAGAGCATGTTGAGAAAGGTGGAGACAGGCATGCTCCATGCAGAGTTGCAAACATCACTTCAGAGGTCCCAGGTAGTTAGCATCCTTTGGATATTTTCTCTAGGTGATGCTGGTGCGTTGGAAAATTAGCAGGCAGATAGATTGGTTGGTTCTGCACCGCTTGTTAGTGAACTGATGTATAACAAGCTGGCTGTTGTAAGGGCTCTTTGGGGGCGATCAACAGTGGGGATGCACAGACAGATCATTAAGGTCTGGGGAGAATGGCACTGCAAGGAGTTGCAAGGGGATTTGGCTAGCGCTCAACACTAGGGGGAAAGGTGAGACAGATATACAATCAGTTACTGGTGCCATCGGAATCAGAACTCTTCGCTTGCTGCTGAAGGTGGGGACAGAGCGCTTATGGTGGTGTCTGAGTGCTGTGATGTTGATTCTTAATTCAATATTCAACATTCTCCAGAATATTCCTCAGCATCAGCAAGGTTAGGACAGCTATTTTTGATGCCCTATACTTATCTAGTGGAGCATTAGAGTCACTGGGAAGTCAAGGCTACCATTATGCTGTCCCTCTGGTGAGATGTAAAATTCTGGGTTACCTTATTTGCAGGCCCGTTCTGGTATCAACTGGGATGTTGAAGGCCCCAGGGTAGGCTTGGGTGTTGAGGGCTGTGTCAGCCAGTCCTCATTTGTAGCTGGCTTGACAGAACACAGAATTTAAAATAAAAAACAATTACTCTTTTAAATACCTTTATACATAACTAAAATAGTGTGTAAGAATATCAGAGTGATGTTTTCATAGTATAATTATTTTTTTGCAAACAGAAGAGTGAGCCATAAACCAAATATGATAATTGGATGTATTTAATAAGTGGAAGTAAGTCCCTGTCCCTTTCATTAAACTAAGCCAGTCTCTGAAGCAATAACTGCATCTTGTTCAGTAGCTTGTTAGGTTTTCTGCCCCAATCAAACCCTAGTTGGCTTTTCATTCATGCTCGGTGACCTTTCACACGTGCTAGTCTATGTTACAGGGGTGTCCGGTTGTGTTTTCTTTGTGAAGAGCTTTCTGTATTGCCCACTTTGTGAGTGGCGAGCTACACTTTGTGTTTTACTCTTTGTTGTGAGCGGCTGGGGACATTGCGTAGATTATAGCTTTTCTTGGACTTCAAGTAGGGCATGAAATTACTTCAGCTGTCAGTGTTGATGAGTGATAAGTAGAGCAGCGTTGCTTTTCTGCAGCAAGACAGCCTTTGAGGGTACACAAGAAAATTTTAACAATTCTGAAACCACAAGACATAGGCTGCGCTTTCTCATGGGATGTAGGCCGAGGCTGTGGGATAGGGAGGTTGGGGTTGGGGCCAGTCCTAGATGTTCTGTGAAAGCGGTCACATCATTTATATAGAACATGCAACATTGCCTGAGAAGCATCGAAGACATTGCTATGTGACACCGCTGTAACATAGACCAGCACATTGAAAGGTCAAGAAGCATGAATGAAAGCCCAACTACAGTTTGTCTGGGGCGAGAAACATAAGAAGAACCCTTGTTCAACCGAATGATTTCATCCCATTATCCAAGAGAATTGTCTTAGCAGTCAAAGTGTTAAGATTTCTTAATTTAAGTTGATCATAATTAAATTTTCATTTAACGTTTTTTTTATTAGCCAGAAAAGTTTTTATAATGAATATTTAAATATATAAATAAATCAGATTTTAACGCCTGCATAATCAAATAAGACAGCTGCAGTGGTTAGTCACTAACTAGATGCCCCACATCTGACCTGAATATCTTGGGTTTAAATCTGCATCTATTTGGATTCGTTTGCCTAATGGCCTTCGCTCCCAGGTTGACCCAGCTAAAATGAGTACCAGGTAAGGTCCAGAAAGTAAAAGTGGCCAACTTGAAGAATAAATCACTTATCAAGGGCGAATTGATCTGTAAATGAGTCACATAGGCCTAATGTGCTACTGGAGAGAAAAGGTCTTGTACTTACAGTATTGCTTATCATCAAATGAACTACAAATTATACATTTCTTATTTTTTTCTTTCCACAACTCCAGGGATGAAGATAATGACCTCAAGTCAAAGTTGCGGCAAAAATTAACAAGAGAATCTGACGACTTTTTAGGACAGACTATAATAGAAGTGAGGACTCTGTCAGGAGAGATGGATGTTTGGTATAGTTTAGGTACGAGTCGAAAGATTTATCTCTTAATTTCAAAAAAATTTTCATTTTTTTATTGCATAATTAATTTTTTATTTTAATTTGCAATGTATATCATTTAAATATATTAATACTATGGTTCTGCGCAAGTGCTGTAGCAACCTGTATGTCTTTCTATTATCAAAATGGAGTATTGTTATCTGATATCATTTCTGTGTGCCACACCATGATCCTGCAAGGCGCCTTGCCCCACTTTCTTTTTTCAACTGTAAATATGGATCACAATAAATAGTATCTGATAGTCCTTGTGCCAATGGAGACTAATGACAAACAGTTAAAGGTAAAGGACCCCTTTCGCCCATACCTTGAGTCATATTATGTTTAAAGTGCTAACCACATAGTTGTATAGACTAGATAGGGCTGTGATCAAAATTATTCTGACTGCCAGTACTACTCAGAACTTGTCCTGCCATCCATTTTAGATGGGGTTGACCATAGCCAGCTAGAAGTTAAAAGTATACCTTAAATAGGATTCACAACAATGACAACTGGATTGTTAGTAGTGGTGGTACGTTTAGCTACCTAAGAATATCATTAGCAATTGTCAGTTAAATGATGCATAAACTAACTGTAAACTACAGAAAAGCTAACAATTAATAAACAAAGTGAGATTTAAATTGAAGATTTCACAAAGTGTAATGCATAGACAAAAATAAGGAATATCATGGTAAGAAAAGAAGTATGCAAAGAAGCATTTAAAAGCTGAGATTAAAGAACACATTGCTTAAGAAATCAAGGTAAGAAAATTAGGGTACTTCTGCTATAGAAATAGATACAGTATAAGCTGAAAAAAATAGAGAAGGATCATGTGAGAGAGGAAAAGAGTTACAGGTGAGTAAATAACATCAAGAGGTGGAACAAGAGATATGTCAGAGGTCATTGAAGACATCTTTAATGAAGAAATCACAAATAATGATAATGATGCAAAACCTAAATACAATCGAACTATCCTTTAAAACGCAAGGGATAACATTTGTATAAATCTTTCTTTGAGTTTTAATGAATTTAACAATTCAGCATCTAAAAGGAATCTGAATCACTGAAGAAGCAAAGCTCTATATAAGCCACTTAAGTCTTGGAAATATCAGCTAACGGCCACATATTATTTAAGTAAGTAAAGTAAAGTTCCCTTTTCACGCCTTTCGGTGCATCGGGCATATGGGAAGAGCGTCCCATATTTTTACAGACCATCAGCACTCTGTGGGTAATGTGGTCAGCATTACGCCGGCTGTCTTTACTTTCCCAGGACAGCCCATCCTGGTACCCATTTTAGGCTGGGTCGACCTGCGACGTCCCATACCATGATAAAAATCCACGCAGCCTGCAGTGGGTTTCGATCGCGGTATGCTGGCTTACGAGTCGGACTCGCAACGCACATATTATGGCAGCCAAAAAAAAAAAACAACACCTTGACAGGGCCTCAATAACATGTAAATTGCTGACTTATTTCTGGCAAATATACTGTGGCAAAAGTAGGATAAATTTCCGGGGTTGATGTCACGGAACGCAACAAAACACGCAGTACAAGTGGGATAAATTTCCAGCGATGACTTCGTGAAACGCAACAAACCGCTGAGTTAAACTCGCTGCCAAGAGTTTCCTCTGCACCGTTACGCGTGATGAGGAGGGGGGCTAAACTAAATGGCTGGTACTCACGAGCAGCAGCTACCGCATCTCGTGCAGCTTCCTCTTTTTATTTGCTTGTGAGTCCTAGGCATCTAGTTTAGCCCCCCTCCGGGCTGCGCATAGGGACGCCGCAGATACTCTCAGCAGAAGGGGTATGGGCTATGCTCCGAATAATGGCCACATATTATGGCGGCCACAAAAACAGCCACAAACAGCAGATTTTCGAGGACTATTTGCAACTTTTCTGCCACAATTTTCAGATATAACGGCGTCAATTATCGGTAAGTGATCGATTTGATTTCCACTTATTTTTCTTTCCTTATTATTTTCTAGTTCAATTTTTTTAATGTTAACAGCACATGACCTAATGAGGCCCTGTCAGGGTGTGTTTTTGGCCGCCATAATATGTGGCCATTATTCGGAGGATAGCCAAAATCTCTTATACATTTCAAGTATCTCTTATACATTTCAAGTATCCTTCAGCTATGATTCTGTAGTTAAATCTTGAATAACACACCTGTCTAAAACATTTATCAAATATTCCTCAATAAAAAGCAATACCAAGACCTTTACCAAAATAAAAAGTAAAATCATAAGAACCTACATGTGCACAATAGTTCCAGGTATCACTTCCTCTAGAATTTAAACATTTGCATTGTGTAATAATGTTCATGGAGTACAAACAAAATGGCCTCTGCCCACTTACTGCAGAACTGTCCTTTAAATAGCTAGCTGCAAGAATACATTTGACAGACACTTATAAAATGTCACAAAATGTTTAAAGCAACTGCAAACTAATGCTCATTGATATCATTCATGTTGATATTCAAGAATAGACTGGAAAAAAACAGATGGATTTTCAGTTTTTGTTTTTTTTATAATATTTTTTTTAAATAAGAACTTGACCATTATGATATGAAAACATAAATCTAATAAAGTCTTTATGAACTATGTTACATTTGTTTGTCTCAGTTCCTTGATTGCTTAGTTATTTTGTTTATATTGACAACAGAAAAGCGCACAGACAAGTCAGCAGTGTCAGGTGCTATTCGTCTTCATATCAGTGTGGAAATCAAGGGAGAGGAAAAGGTGGCTCCTTATCATGTACAGTACACTTGCCTTCATGAGGTGAATATTGTAAACTTTGTTAATTGAATCATCAAACTTCATTAAACAAAATTAGGAATTCCATGCCATTATCAATTAACTATGATGTATTTAATTACCTTTACACTCCGAAGTATAGAAAATATACCTAAGATTTCTGTTACATTCTGTGTTGGGTTTTTGAGTCAAGAATTGACATCACAGCACTCAGGGCATTCCCATGTGTGCTCCGTCATCATCTTCAGCAGCTAGCGCAGAGTTCCAGTACTGATGGTACCAGTCACAATCTGGTTATATGTCTGTCTTGTGGCCGGATCCTCTGGTCACACCCAGGTGCATCATTCTTTCCAGGCCATAATAATCCAGTTTCTCTACTGATTCCTTTACTTGTTCCCAATGGGCCTTGACCACATCTGCCTTGTCAGTATCAATTCACCACCCAGTGGTGAAGATCCAGCCAATCTGTCTGCCTGTTCATTAGCCACTATGCCCGCTTGAATGGAAAAAAAAATCCAAAGTATGCTCACTACCTGTGACCTTTCCAGTAAAGCTTGCCACTCTGCTCGAAGCATCCCTGTCTTCACCTTTCTCAGCATACCTTCAGAGTCTGTTACAATTACGACATGTGTATGCATCTTGTTCTCTAGCCACCAGATATCTGCAGTTACCACCTCCATCTCAATCTCATGCTAGATGTTGGGATGTCGTATGCTAGACTGTCTTGCACGAATGATTTTCCATTGACTTTTGCTAAGCACCCCCAGGCACTTCTCACTCCTCTCACAACGGAACAATCTGTATAGATAATCAGATAACCTAGGCGTAAATTGTTGTGAATCAATTGTTGGACTTCCACTCGGTAGCACCTGCTGGCCACTCTCTATACTCCCAACCCAATGTGATCATAACCCTACACAGGTTAGACTTTTCCTCTGGTACTCTGACCCACTCCTCTCCTCGCCCAATGTTCTCCAGCATGCATACTTGTCTTACTGTGTCTTCTGCTTGAACCATCCACGATTTCCCCCTTTTCAGCCTCTGACTCTTGCCTGCAGCCAAAGCTTCATACAGAAGGTGTTCTTTGTCTGCAGCTACTCTGAGGTATGACTTAGCCTGCAGCACCTTTAGCCTATCTGCAATAGTCGGCAATGCAAGGATGTATCACATGAACACAATCAGGGTGTCTCTTTTACATCCCAGGATCACCTGCATATCTTGATTCTGTATGCACTCCAGTTTCTTTAGCTGACTCTTTGAGACAGTAAGTAATCCCAATCTATAATCAATCACTGAAATGATTAAGTGCTGGTAAAGTGTGAACAACATTCTCTGCTCAATGTCCATTGTTGCCATAATCTTTAATGTTACATTATATACTTTATAACCTATCATGCTCCTGACTGCAACTATCATTTGTTCATATATTTTTTCATTAATCAAATCAGTCAACTTACCCTACTGAAAATATAAATAATATATTGCACAGACATAAATATTTATTGCACAGGTATATTTATCATTAATTATTGTATCTATGTCATTGTATAAATCACAATGAGACAACACATCTTTGAATCAGCAAGGTGTGATTTATATGCTGGTATGATAAGTATAGTTAGCTGAACTGACTGGCACTGATAGATGTAGAGGAAAGAAGACAAACTACACATCATAAAATCAAGAACTATAGTTACTACAATGGGAATTGCACCTCACAGCAGAAAATGCACTTTGATGCATTTTATTGGTGACTGACTCCTCATATTTGTATTTACGCTAAGCAATTTTAGAATGTACTAAAAATCATGAATTTTATGGTTCTGAAGTACACATAGCTGAATTCTCACCAGTGCTTCAGATTTCATCATTGTTCTGAAATTCTATTTTGATAATACGGCAGTCTACATGCACTGCACTTATTTTGTTGGCTCAGTGCGTGCAGTCGTCTCTATGATGACTACACTCAACTATAAAGAAGCAAAGGGTGGCAACTCAAGGCAGCCAATAAAACTTTTTATTCAGTCAACATAGATTTCTCTCTGTCAGTGATGACCGAAGGTTCGAAGTGTCTATGGATTAAGTATAATCAAGCTTCACTTGTTTGTATCAATTGAGGCAACTATATTTACCTTGTTCAAGTACTCTCTCTCTCTTGGTTAAACTCTTCCAACAATATCACTCAGCATACTTGAATTAAATGCTTACAACCATTTGTCAAAGTCATGATTTGTTGTTGTTGTCGCCATCTGCTTGTACAGATGCTTACACAATTTTAGACAAAGGCACTATGATGTCCTTTCTCCAAGTGCCATGTGACAATAATGACCTCTCTCTCCTTCTGTGCCTCTCAGTAATCTCTCTTAATTCACGTGAACATTGAAATACCTGTCATACTCCAAGAGTTTCATTCAATTCACACCCAAACATACATCTGCCAAATCATTACAAGACAGAAGCACTTATAAAGTTTTCTATGTGCAATAAAAGTGACACTTAAAAACTTGATTAAGCAATTAAATTTATTTTAATCAATTGTTATTGCAGTATGCACTTGATGAGATCCAGCATAATAGGCCATGCATGAATTGTGCAGTCTATTGTATATGTCTTCTTTGTTCAAAGTTACAAGCTCTTCATATTATTGTTTCAGCAATTTTAGAGATAACTTGAAGTCGAGTACATTTTGTTTTCGTTTTTTAATATTGTTTTTTTCTTCTTCTTCAGAATTTGTTTCATTATCTGTGTGAACAAGCAGGAGGTGAAGTAAAGTTACCAAATGCCAAAGGGGTGAGATTTATTATTTCTTGTTCTGACTTGTTTTTATGAAAATGAAATGACAAAATGTTGATTGTTTTATAGTTGCTAGAATAAGAAGTGAAGATTATAAATCCTACAAGTAAATTTATCATCGAGTTTTTGAAAAAGGACAAGCTGCAGTCTCTTTTTTGAAGCTTTTGAAGTAACCTGATTATGGAAGCTATCAATTGGGTGCTGATATTAATCAAGATATTGTCTGTGATGGTGGAGATAATGCAAAAGAGAAATGAGACAAAGATAATACAGTAAAACTTATGAAAAATAATTGTATTCAGTTAAGGAATTATGTGTTTACGGTACCCAAATGCATAAGTAAAGTGGACAAACAAAATATGCAGGACAATTTCATAAGAAACAATTTTTTAAAAGTAACGGTTAACAATTGATAAAAATATTTCAAAAGCAGGAATTTTATATGGGAGTAAATATTAATATATTAAAATATATTTTAGAATCAGAGACAATTAAAAGTAAACACATTTTAGTTCTACTGTACAAATACACATTTATACAAATATGCTTATGAATACATTGTATATATGAGAATATTTCCTAAATTCAGGGTTTGCAATTAAAGATCACATAAAATCTAAAAACGTTTGTTGAACAGTGAAAGACTATAATTTTACCTAACTTAACTTCATTTCAGAATGATGAATCATGGAAAATTTATTACGATGAACCAGGCCAAGAAATGGTTGATGAGTTTGCCATGAGATATGGTATAGAGTCAATATATCAAGCTATGACGTATGTACTATATTATGTTTTTTTCTGCTTATACATCATACTGACACATTTTAAGTAGTTGCAGAGAATGTATTTATTTTTTTTTTTTTGACTTTTAATTTGTTGTGAATTTTGCTTCTGAATTAATAATTAACTTCTGCGTTTTACATTCTTGGGGTTTCAGTCATTGACCTTTTTTTTAAAATCTGATTTCCATTAAATAAAATGAGGAATTCCATTAATGCACTTTGTTGTATTTGATTAACTTTACTTGAAAATGCAGACATTCAAGGCATAGTTCTTTAACAGACTTGGAAAACAAATTAAATTGTAACATACATTTTAGTGTGATACTTGAAATCAGCAAAAGTTGAACACACAATTTATTCTTTTTTTTTAATGCATTTTAGGAAACAATTATATTGTTTGAAACATTTAGTTTTGTGTTTTTATAAACAATTAATTATGCATGTGTTATTGCTGTCTTCTATTATGCCACCTGATACATTTGTCATGTAACATCTTTCTCTTATATATTGCAGACACTTTTCCTGCCTTTCATGTAAATACATGTGTGCTGGGGTGCCAGCCCTCATGAGTACACTACTTGCCAACATCAATGCCTTCTATGCTCACACTGCAGCAACAACAGCTGTTTCTGCCAGTGACAGATTTGCAGCCTCAAATTTTGGGGTAAGTAGCTGTAAGCACTAGAGGAGCAGCTGGCTGACTTGTTATGAAATGTGTGAGACCCAGGTTTGATTGGCTGATTGGCAATTAAAGCTGGGTTCTAATATGGGAGACCCAGTTTTGATTGGCTGATTGCATTGGGTTTTAAAATAGGAAACCCAGGTTTGCTTGGCTGGTTGTGCTGGGTTCTAATGTAGGAGACCTAGGTTTGGTTGGCTGATTGGTTATGAATGCTGGGTTCTAATGTAGGAGACCCACATTTGACTGGCTAATTGGTTATGAAAGCTGGGCTCTAATGTGGGAGACCCAGGTTTGATTGGTTATGAAAGCTGGGCTCTAATGTGAGAGACCCAGGTTTGATTGGTTATGAAAGCTGAGCTCTAATGTCAGAGACCCAGGTTTGATTGGTTATGAAAGCTGAGCTCTAATGTCAGAGACCCAGGTTTGATTGGTTATGAAAGCTGGGCTCTAATGTCAGAGACCCAGGTTTGATTGGTTATGAAAGCTGAGCTCTAATGTCAGAGACCCAGGTTTGATTGGTTATGAAAGCTGAGCTCTAATGTGAGAGACCCAGGTTTAACTGGTTGATTGGTTATGAAAGCTGGGCTCTAATGTGAGAGACCCAGGTTTAATTGGTTATGAAAGCTGGGCTCTAATGTGAGAGACTCAGGTTTAACTGGTTGATTGGTTATGAAAGCTGGGCTCTAATGTGAGAGACCCAGGTTTAATTGGTTATGAAAGCTGAGCTCTAATGTGAGAGACCCAGGTTTAATTGGTTGATTGGTTATGAAAGCTGAGCTCTAATGTGAGAGACTTAGGTTTAATTGGTTATGAAAGCTGAGCTCTAATGTGAGAGACCCAGGTTTAATTGGTTTTGAAAGCTGAGCTCTAATGTGAGAGACCCAGGTTTAATTGGTTATGAAAGCTGAGCTCTAATGTGAGAGACCCAGGTTTAATTGGTTATGAAAGCTGAGCTCTAATGTGAGAGACCCAGGTTTAATTGGTTATGAAAGCTGAGCTCTAATGTGAGAGACTCATGTTTAATTGGTTATGAAAGCTGAGCTCTAATGTGAGAGACTCAGGTTTAATTGGTTATGAAAGCTGAGCTCTAATGTGAGAGACCCAGGTTTAATTGCTTATGAAAGCTGAGCTCTAATGTCAGAGACCCAGGTTTAATTGGTTATGAAAGCTGAGCTCTAATGTCAGAGACCCAGGTTTAATTGGTTGATTGGTTATGAAAGCTGAGCTCTAATGTGAGAGACCCAGGTTTAATTGGTTATGAGACCCAGGTATAAATCTTTGGGAAAATATTGGGGTTTTTTCCCTGTCCAGGATATATAATCTTAACCTGCTTAGTCTGTGGCAGCTGTACTAGCCATGTTGTCCTAAATCTTCAGGTTGCAAGACAGCCCCACTGTCACCACAAAAATAGTAAATACAGGCAGTAGTGGGAGTCACCACAGCAAAGTGGCTAGACACTCATCGAGGATCAGAAGGTCATGGGTTCGCTCCCTGGCGCAGCCGGACTTTTTTTAAAAATGACCTTGGTTCCCAGGTTTACCCAGCCTTGAGCGGGTACCGAGTGCAGTCCCGGAAAGTAAAGGCAGCGGGCATGATGCTGACCACATCACTCATCTTGGGCCTAAAGGTGTGGAAAAGGGGCCTTTACTTACTTTTACTTACTTACAGGCAGTGATGGCAGTTTTTAAGGCAGATATAAGCACCATACATTTTTTTTACCTATTTCAGTTGTAGATATTTGTTATTTGACTGATCATTCTCATTTCACATTGAACCATTCAGTCCATCAGTGTTCAGATCCCCTTCCAAGTATATTCCTCTTTGTGTAGTGAGAGAAAACAACAGTATTTGTTTGCCCCCGTCCTGTGTAACTTTTGACATTTTGACATTAGTAGTTGTTTTTTTAATCATCTTACCCGCTCTTTGCTTCTTGTACAAGAATTGAACTACAAAAGACAAACAGAAAAACAGAAAATAAAAATAACAGAAAAACAGAAAATAAAAATTACAACTGAAATTCCCATATATGTTGAAGTCTGAAAGAAAATTTGGAGGTAGTGCGAACTGAAAGTGGAAAGGGAAAAAGGAGGGGGGGGGGGCAGTAGATTTCTTTGGAAAAATTAATAAATGCAGGGGAAAACATTTACAGAGTAATCCTAAAGACATAACAATGATTACAAGAACAGCAACCTGTTATCTTCAAGGCAACAATCCTTGATACCTGCCTCACAGCGTCCGTGTTATTAAATGGTTAGAACGTTTGCCTTATGCTCTTAATGTCATAGGTTCATTTCATTGGCCATCATTTGGTATGTGAGTGCAATTTTTACTGAGATTTTACTGGGAATTATGCTCAGCATGTAGCTTGCTGTTCTGCAAAGAAGTCATATGGGGGAAAACCTGGTGCAGTGAAATTAGTCCTCATGGTTTAAAATTTCTAGGGCTGCAGTGAGCATTACTGACATTTAAGGAGTGTTTTGAAATTGCAGAATGCATTAGAAACATTTGTGTTTTTCTTTGTAATAATGAATTTTTTTCATTTCATGCGCACAGAAAGAAAAGTTTGTCAAACTGCTAGACCAGCTTCATAATTCATTGCGGATAGATCTATCAATGTATAGAGTAAGTATATCAGCAGAGTAAGCTATACTTTTTCGTTGCCGAAGAATTAAGGTTGAGGAATTTGTAAATGAACCAATATTACCCAGTATTCATGACATTCCCATACATTTTATCTGTTTCTTCTGAAATCAGGAATGTGTTCAATTCCTCTGCTGTTGGTGCCATTGCCAACATACAAGATCAGACAATTAAGTAATGAGACTGATTCCGAAAAAATTAAAATAATCAACAGTTGAAGATAAAACCTATGTCTGATTCAAAGTAAGCCCTATGTACACTGATACAGCAAGTGGCATGATCTAACAAACACTGGAATGACCTATGTAGTTCTTCTATTGTTATGGCCCTTAAAGTCTTTGTTAAGGCCCATCGGATGTCATCAATATCGATAAGGAAGCGTCCTTTCAATCGTAACTTTAATTTTGGGAATAGAAAATAATCACAGGGAGACAAATCTGGGGATTTGGGTGGAAGGCTGAAAACACACACTTATTTTTGGGCCAAAAATTCTTGTTTGAATGATGTCTCTTTGGGACTCAACCTGCTGATGTTTTGGGTCATCAGACAACGAATGTAGTACAAACCAGCAAGCAACTTTTTTCTTGCCAAAATCTTGCACTAAAATGTTATGAATGGTCTTTCTATAAACACCAGATTCATCTATTATCATCCTCACAGTAACACAATGATCTTCTTGTATCCATTCTCTGACTTTTGCAATGAGTTTATCATTACGAACAGAAATTTGATGTCCAGGACTAGGTGCATTAGTAATCATTTCCATGCCACTTTTAAATCATGAATACCACCTGAAAATTTAGTGCACGAGATAAACAATTATCCCTATAAACGTGTTGCATCATTACAACTGTTCAATGCACCTCTGACTAGGTCAACAAAATGGCGGCTTGTTTGTTGTGTGCTTATCCAGCAGCTATGAAAAGTTTCCAGATCATAGATGAATGTTGCCTCTTTAGATTCCATGCTTTGCTTCATAGATGACATTTTTGTCTTGGCCATAGTAAAGTCAGTCTCATTACTTAATTGTCGGACCTTTTATCTATCTTTTTCACTTCATGTTAAATGTCTTCCAGACAATCGGCTCCCTGCTGACTGAATCAGTCTTGAATAAAATAGCTTGCTACATAGAGGAGTGACAGCAGTCTATCATTCTGATCATTACCCCGCACGTCTGTATTCATCATCATCATGTGCCCTGCCACACCTCTGCATTACCTGGTGAGAAAGTGCTCATTATTCTCCTGATTGTCATGTCATTCCACGCATAACATACCAGTCTTTAGGGTTTCTGTGGCAAAGTGGTCAAGCCATTTGTTTCACGCTCTGAAAGTCATGGGTTGACTCCACGACTGCTCCTTTTAGTTCACAATTGCAATTTTCACGCAAATTCCTATGGATCATTGTCAGAGCTACAGAGTTTGTGCTCTGTGCGGCGCTCTCGACACATTGCTAGCCCTTCTGTGGACAGAGACTGAGCCATATATGATAAAACCAAGTGCCGTGAGTCGATCCTCTCGACTTTCACATTTAACCTTTATACCATACCAGTTTGCATTTTCTTAAGTATGATCCGCAAGTCTGTTACAGGTACATTTGTCTAAAGTATCTATGGCTCTGGGAGTGCTGCATTGTTGGGTATCACCCTGCTCCATTCATTATGATGTGCTGTCTTGTTAATTCTACATACATGACTGCTAGTATCTTCTGTGACTTTTTTTTTCTATTTCTTTTTAAATAAATTATTACTGATTACTAACTTCAGTTTGAACTTTATTGCATAATGGGCATATACATAGATGCTGTGTCTCCTGCAACAAATGTATTAAAGTGTAACAACTAGCTTTTGTTTCTAGTTTTAATATTTTCTTTTAATTAACTGTCTTGTCTCTTTGTGTTATAATGTTTTGTTTATTGTTGATTTCATTAGATTTTATTTGACTATAAATTTTTAATTCTGAAGCAGGCATTGTGTTTACCTTACAGAACAATTTCCCAGCATCGGATCCGGGTAGATTGAAAGATCTGAAGTCAACAGTGGATTTACTTACCAGTATTACATTTTTCCGGATGAAAGTAAGAAATTTTGTCTTTACATAGAAGATAAAGCTAAGTCACTGACTGATAGCAAACACTTGTGCCGCTATCTTTACAGATATATAGATAAAGAAAATACTGCAATAATGTTTACCTTTGTACCACTAGTTGCACGTATTAATCAGAAAATGAAGGTACTGTTGTCTCAGTGTTTTTTCGTTCTGTTTTTTGTTGTTGTTTTTTTTTTTACTTTTTTTTTAAATTTAAATTAAAAGTGATAGTAGCTTATTTTACTATTAACTAATTATTAAACAATATACTTTATGTTTTAAAAAGAAAAACTTCCAATAAATATGCATCTTTTTCATAATAAGAATATAGGAAATCAGAAAGAGCATTATTGAAATGATTAAGCTTTTACTGTAATATTTTGCATCAACAGTTTCTTAATATTTTCTTAGGTTCAAGAGCTGACCAGTCCTCCTCGAGCAGGCACAGTGGTAAAAGACTGTGTCATAGCTTGCATCAAATCAACATACAAGTTCCTCTTTGACAACTGCTCGGAGCTGTACAACAGAGAATTCCAGACAGACCCAAATGAGCAGATGGCAGCGGATCAGGAAGGTCCCAGTGGCAAAAGTTTGCACTTTTGGCATAAAATGATAGCCCTGATAGTTTCTGTGATAGAGGAAGATAAGAATAGCTACACAACAGTGCTCAATCAGTGAGTATTTCAGACTTCTGTTAAATGTGTGAATCTCTGTTGGAAAATTCTGCCACAAAATATTCATGTTGATTGCACAAAATCTATAGGAGTTCATAAATCTAACCCCATTTGTTGGTTTTTAAGTTTATCTTGGCAATTTTACATTCAGTAGTTTGCCATATCTGAACTCTGTATTCTCCTCAAGAAAAAATACTAAATAACTTTCATTTGTGTTGTATGAGATAATTCTTGTTATATCTTATATCATGGAGAAACTTTGTTGCCAGTGAGTGTGGGCTCGGGAAAACCAGGAATGACAACAATGTACTCTCCACTGAAGCAAAGACACCAACATTGTTTGCGATATGTGTTCCACACTGAAGATGGCTGCATTCCAAAGTTCTCATATATGCTGAACTTGTATCTGGGACAAGATCTACAGGAAGCCAAAACTATGTTAAAAAGACATATGCAGACATGATCTGGAAGTCACCAACATTGAAACAGACATTATGAGACATAAGCTGCAGACTTACTTCTGTCAAAGCAAACAGTGAAAGATAGTCTTTCACAAACTATAGACAGAAGATATCTGAGGATAAAATAAAAACAGCCTAAGTAGATCAGTGTCAATGTTTTTATGTAGACAATCTGACTAAGACTGTACCTCCTGCTTAGGACTTTAAAGTAATAGTAGAAAAATGGGACCCTGGAGATCACACAGGAAGATGACTATAAATCCCTGTGTGTTGGGAGTGAAAAATTATTCATTAAAAAAAAGACAATGTTTTTTGTGTATGATTGAGGATTGATTGATTGATTGATTGAGTGATTGAATGGCACTTTTCCGCCTTTCCAGGCGATTATGTAATATTACGCTATGAGGAGGCATGGGACTCATAGCCCATGGCAGAGGTGAGTGTGACTAGCAAGAACCGCCCGTTTTAAGAAAAGTCTTGTTTCTGAATCCAGTTACAATCAGGGATAAAATTCATCTTCTCCATAGTACAAAGCCTGGGCAGTATTGTAGAGACCATATGTTGCCCATGCCTCATGATTCCTCTCCTGAACTGCCTTGTTTACTCCAAAGGAAAGGTAACACTTTACTTCTGGAACAAAGCAGGCTGCAGAAGCTGTTTTTTAGTCTGGTAGTTTGGTAGTCTTAGTTTCAGCTTCATAGAAAATGGGTCACCCCTGCTCCCGTGCCAACGAAAAACATACAGAATGTTTATCACAGTCCCTTGTGGAAAGATTGACAGACTGCTGTCTCAGCATATCTAGCATACACACGCATTCAAGCATACAGTAGGCATTCAAAGTGCTAACACAAACAGTCCTACATTAGAAAAACAGTTCATCATTGATAGTAGCAGAAGTCACCAACAGATCAGCAGTTGCCCACGAGATCAATTTTAATCACACATGGGCACCACAAACATTGCGACGACAGGCATCGCAGTCGCCCCATTTTCTGAATCTACAATTCACACCACCACATTGGTCGAAAAAACATTCCAAATGAAATCCGCAGCTCACAGTGTTACGCTATGCATTCAACTCAGAAGCTGGGTGGCGAAACTATATCCAGTCTAAAAATTGAGCAAAAATGCATCGGCCACCATCCGGCAGAAGCAACAAATTTGCCTCGACTCCAAACAGTGCCCCTGCCTAGCGTCTGTTTTGACCAGAAGTGTTTTTTAGTATGATACCTGTTGAAAAAAAAAAAAGGGTCCTTCACATAATAGTGGCACATTTAGCATATGATGCTAGACTTATATTTTGATACACCAGTCAGCCTGTAACAGGTAAGCAGTCAAAATCATGCTATCTGTCTTTACTTCCCAGGAGTGTACATTGTGTCTATTTCAGGGGGCGTCAACCTGGGATCTCAATGCACATTTGAGCCCAAGACCTTTGGGTTTGCAAGTAGGGGATGATATAAGTAGTTTACAGAAAGAAAAAAAAGAGATTTAAAAAATAAAGGACAAATGTTATTGCATTTGGGGTTTTTTTTCATAGATCAGCTGGATAAGGTTCCTTCTAATGTTTATATTGATGTACAGTTAAAATGAATTCCAAGGGACTGAAAATCAGGTTCGTGTTTTAACAAATGTATGCTAACCAAGCAGTAATAATAATATTAATACAACCCTGCTGCAACCAGCATTTTGTTCATGTTAACAGTGTTCTTCTTGAGCAAGTTCATGTTAAAGAGATTTGTCTGTATATGTTCAACACAAATGTTAGTTACTTGTTTGTCTAGTTTAGTGTGTTCGGTGAAAATAGCAATTTCTAAATACATTCTTTTATATAAAAAACCTACACCTAATGCATCTCTTATTTATCAACTTGTGACAGATTTCCTCAGGAGTTAGTGGTGGGGCAAGTGAGTGCCTACATGATGTGGGATCAGTTTTCACAAGATCTGCGCATAGCATTACAGCGTAAGTGGGACATTAAGCTTGGTGGTTATTGTTCATATTTATTTGTTTATTTATTATGTATAATTCACTATCGCAGCAGTGAACAAAATTTTTTTTTTGGGGGGGGGGGGGGGGGGGGGGGGGGGGAATAAGTAAGCTAACTTCCTTTTTAAACAGTACAGACTAGACTTTTAAACTTTTTGCCCTGGTTAGGTGCATATCCTTTACAGGACGTTGCAGAACCAACCCCAGCAGCCCCTGGCTGTTGTGTGGTTTCTCTAAGCAAATTTACATCCAGTAGTTTGCTATTGCTTTCTTGACGGTCTGCTCCCTGATACCACTGTCGAAACCAACGCAAGGCGCATAGCCCGCAGCTGGGATCGAACCTGGCACCCCGGTATTACGAAGCATTCGCATCGACTTAGTTACAGAGCCGAATTTTGCCCCTAGTAGCCATAAAAACTAACACTTCAGGTTTGTACCATTTTCCCCAGTCAAGGCCACTTTTTCAACTCATCATAGTGAAAAGTTCATGAGACATCTAGCTTACAGAATAAATTACATCTGCATCTGGGACTGACTGATGTTCAACCCCACCAGGACATCACACCAAGCGATAAACACACTGTGACACAAAGTTTTATCATTCAAATGAGGATCACCCTGGGACAGGTCCCAGAAACCCCATTCAACCAAATGTTGGTTTATATTAGGGCTCCTGGCAACAGCCAGGGTGGGGCTTTAAGACAACTACAAATTCTCTCTGACACTTGAAAGCAGTATCACGTATGATGGTAAATAACTGCATCTGGGGGAGTGAGATTCAACTTCACCAGGACATTCATGAAGCGATAAACAACGGTTGGAACAAAGTGCCAGCATTCAGATGAGGATCTTCCAGGAAGAGGTCCCATTTCAACTGTTAAAGTAACTGCATCTGGGTTAACATTCAGCATGACGTGATGACTACATTTACTACCAACGATTTTTGGAGCATTGGTTTTTTTCCATATTACCTCCTAATTCTACTGTTTCTTCTATTACAGAACATGAAGAAGAAAGAACGTGCAAAAGTTCTGAATACATGAATCTCCATTTCAAAGTGAAGTGGCTTTATACAAAATACATTTCCGATGTGCCTCAGTACCGTGGTTCAGTCCCAGAGTATCCACGGTAGGTCACAGCTTTTTACTGACATATTCACATAAATACTGCCATTAGAAACTGCCATTACTGCCTATATTTACCACTGGTGTAGACAGCGGGTCCTTGAGCCTGAGGATTTAGGACTGCCTAGCTAGTGCTGTTGCCATGGACTCTACAGGTTATTTATTTTTTTAATATTTTATTTGCCAATTTGATACTGCAGCAACAAGTATAACTTCAATTCTCACAATACATGTTGCAATCTCACCATTTCATCTTGTCCCTGTCCAAGAGTCCGATAAAGCGCAGCAGGAGAAGATTATGGCTTGGAGTCATGACCCAGGTCGGCCCACCTTCTGAGATTGTATAGGAACTAATGGACCAAAATATTCATCGACTAGGGATCTTTCTACTGATGATTGATGGACTCCTGCTGTGCATGCTCCCCTGTGGAGTTCTTCTTCTTATTTTTATCTTTGATAAATCAAAATATCCAAATCCGGATCTCCCCTATGTTCTTTACTGTTCAGCCAGCCACTCCTTGTTTACAAAAATGTTATCTCATTTATATTAAATCATAAAATAAAATAAAATATTTAAATTATGATGCAAGAAATTAGCAGTGGAAAACATTAATAATAAGAATAGACCAGATTGCCCCTGGTGAAACTACACTTCAAGATGTAGAACCATTTGTATTTTAGCAGCAATGCAGACATTAGGGATTAAATACGCTTGTATCAGACAGAGAGTATCACTTTTGTAATGTTGGTAAAGCAAAATTTTCTAAGAGCATCAAATTACTCTGTTATTTCTGTCTGTCTATATATTTAATTACTGCATCCTTCTTATTATCCTTCTCCCTTGAAAAAACCGGCTGGAAATCTGTGTTGTGGTTTATAGCTAAGCTGCAGTATCTGCACTATTCAGCCCAGTACATCACATTTTGGCACAAACTCTAAATTAGGTGCCTTTTATGACATGCTTGTCAGGGGGCAGTGGGTATGCTCATTCCTCTATCCCCCAACCCTAGATGGGGTCATAGAATGCACATAGGAATAATTACTGCACCCAAATAAATATAATATTATGTATTACGCTTCATGGGATACAAGATTGAATTGCTTTCATTTTCATTTAACAAATCACAAAATAAACAAACAAAACTACTTTACTGTGATGTCAGTTTTGTAACTGTGTTTGTTGAGGCATTTATATGTGTATTCAGAATGTTGAAAGGACATAAAATGTATATTTTAGTTGGGCAAAGTAAGTCAACCTAATAACACCCTGGGATAAGGACAACATATCACCATTTGTTTTAGAGGTTAGGGGTTAGGACAATAACTTGGTAATCTAATCTTGTTTATAGGTAGGGCATTTCTTTTATAATATTAGCATCTGGAGTTTCTGTTATTAAAATGTACATTTTATCAGTTAAGACTTATTTAGTTTTTAGCACATTTTACAGCCAATGTCATGTGTATATGACACAGATTTTTCTGCATGTCATGATGCTCAATATGTTAAAATATAATTTTCTGTAACAATATTCTGCCAATCTGAAACTTCACTAAGAAGAGTTTGATAAAATGCTTATCATTGTTACCATTCCATGGTTCTGATTTATTTCCAGGTGGTTTGAACCATTTGTGATGCAGTGGCTCAATGAAAATGATGATGTATCCATGGACTATTTACATGGTGCATACGACAGAGACAGAAAAGATGGAGTAGGTTTTCTGACTCATTGATAATAATCGTTGTTGTTGTAAGCTCATTCCTACTTTTTCACATAATAATTATAGTAAAGTAAGTAAGGTAAAGATCCCTTTTCACGCTTTTAGGCGCATTGGGTTTATGGGAAGAGCACCAATATTTTTACAGACCAATCAGCACTAGGTGGGTAATGTGGCCAGCATTATGTCGGCTGTCTTTACTTCCCCAGTACATACATCCTGGTACCCAGTTTAGGGCTGGGTCCACCTGCAAGGCCGCAATACCATGATAAAAATCTATGAAGCCAGCAGTGGGTTTCTATCGCGGTATGTTGGAATTATGAGTCTGACTCGCAATGCCTAAACCACAGATGCCACATAATAATTGTACTTTATATAAATAGCAAAAGTATAAACTAAAAAATACTATGGAAACTAAATATCCCATTTATAACCCTTCAAGCTAAACAGAATTTAAACAGCAGAAGGATTTTAGTCACATGCATAAAAGAAATGTAAGGCCATTGTGCTGTGCATAAGGAGATACTCTGTATCTCACATCTGGTGCCAGCTGGCTCTGTGCTAGTTTAAGGAATACCCATGCAAGACTCCTACCACACATCCTCGTCGTGTTCTATGGATAATGGCCTGTATCAGCCTAGACAGGGCTCACAAGTGATCTCAAAGTTATCGGTGCCCAGAGATGCAGTGTCTAGAAATCCTCTGGCACTCATCAGCCCACTCCCAACTTATGGATGATAATGTCCATAAAAAAACTCATTTGCAAAAATAGTAAAGCTCGCTGGGCGAGTGTCCTCCTAAATGACAAATTTTAGCTCAGTGTCTGTCAACTGATAGTCCTACAGTGTGACAGACAGAACCTCGTTCAAACTTCTGTCTACCAAGTCCGACTGTATGGTATTACTTGGGTTCAAATGTCCGTCCATCGAGTGTCCTACTATATGGCAGCAAGATGGCTCAAAGAAACTACTTTGTGACCCAAAAGGTTCAAATATTCACTACCGGAGTGTTAAAAAAAACGTATAGAATTTTATTTTTTTTTAAATTTATTTTTGAACTTATATCTTTGAATTTCTGCAGTTCCAGAAGAGTTCAGAACATGCCCTATTCTCTACTTCGGTTGTGGATGTGTTTACCCAGCTTAACCAATGCTTTGATGTCATTAAAAAGCTGGAGTGTCCTGATCCTGAAGTTGTCAGGAATTACATGAAAAGATTTGCAAAGGTTATATTTTAGTGTGTGTGTATATATATATATAAATATATAGTATACGTATATGTGTGTATATATATATATATATACATATATATATATCCTCACATCCTTTCTTCTTTTCCATTCTCTGTTATACCTTCTATCATCAGGTTTTTATAATTATTGTTTGTTTTAAGTAAAACTATTGAGATGTATTTTTAAAATGCATCTTATTGTCACTTGAATTATACATGTTAAGTTCTTTATATGTATATGTGTGTGTGCGTATGTGTAAGTGCATTTGTGTACATGTGTGTATGTGTCTCTCTAGAAGATGGAAAGTTTGCAAAATAATTATAGAATTATTGGGTTTTTCTTCTTTTTTTTTTTTTAAACAGTAAGTTTATATTGGTTTTATTATACTTAAATGCATAAAATAAATTTGATTTTCATAAGACAGCACACATACAAAATTTATAATATATATTTTGTTCCAACAAATTCTATTCTTCCAGACTGTCAACAAAGTGCTATTAGCTTATGCAGATATTGTGCGTAGAGACTTTGAAAAATACACAAGTCGACAAAAAGTTGTAAGTAAATCTCATTCAATAATGGTATTAAAAAATGCAAAATTTAAATTAAGTGAGTTGTATGTTTCATTAAGATGAAAGCAATCAAAAGTACATGGTTTTTTTTTTTTTTTTTTTTGCTGCTTAATGTATGCTACATTAGGTTTACATCAGTTTTAAAGAATTTGAAAATAATTATAATTAGAAACTAGAAACTATCTCTCTCAGTCTCTCTACAAAAAGCAGCTCTCTGCCTGCTGAGAGCATTACACAAAACAGGACGTGTGTAGCTCTAGCAATGATCCCATGGAATCTCTGAAAAATTCAAGCTTCAAGTATTAGTTGTGTATACTGTGTTTAAATATAACTTTTTTTTAATGGTGTGAGTGAGTGAGTGAGTGAGTGAGTGAGTAAGTGAGTGAGTGAGTGAGTGAGTGAGTGAGTGAGTGAGTGAGTGAGTGAGTGAGTGAGTGAGTGAGTGAGTGAGTGAGTGAGTGAGTGAGTGAGTGAGTGAGTGAGTGAGTGAGTGAGTGAGTGAGTGAGTGAGTGAGTGAGTGAGTGAGTGAGTGAGTGAGTGAGTGAGTGAGTGAGTGAGTGAGTGAGTGAGTGAGTGAGTGAGTGAGTGAGTGAGTGAGTGAACTTGAACCCCACTCAGACCGCACACTGAGCAAGCAACACCCGGTGACACAAAGTGTCATTACTCAAATGAGAATCCCCCAGGTACAAATCCCAGAAACTCTGTTAAACCACAAGTTGATATTGGGGCCCCTGATGGTTTCAAAGCAACCTGAAGTTCAGACAGGATATGGTTGTTTTGTGAACTAAAATAAATGATGTGTCTAATATTATGCCAAAGTCATGAATTGAATAAATAATTAAAAAATATACACACACAAAATAAATTCTAGGGTTCAAATATGGGCATTGTAAGGAAAGGCATGCAGAGATAGTAATTTCATTTGTAATTCTGCCGTACTGATTAGACATGGATTAAAATAGGAGATAACTTATAAGTTTGTATTCCCCATGTGTGTTCTGGGGTCCCATTGTGAGAAAAATAAGAATTACCCACTGCCTACCAAGCAAGCATGTTGTAGGAATCTACTAACTGGAGACTTCTTTTCATGTCAGAGTGCATCTGCCCAAGTGGCAAGGAACAACCAACTGCACAAAATAAACTAGTAAAATTGATGTACACATAAAGCGTAGGCCTTGTCACAAAACCAAATTCCACACGGACAAACAGCCATGACTTTCCACCGGAGCTTTCAGCCTGTGAACAAAGAAAAAGAGGAAGAAGATTATATTTTAAAATAATATTAATTTATTAGTTCTATATGTAATTTTTTTTTTTTTTTTTTAATATTAGCTGAATTTATTCCCCCTTAATCTCATCTACAGGCCTGCATCATGATGAACAACATTCAACAACTGCGGGTACAACTAGAAAAAGTGTTTGAGTCTATGGGAGGAGAAAAGGTAAGGCCTTACATTAAAATTTTGTTTAATCATTCAACTATTTATTATTAATACAAATGGATGAAAAATTGTGTCGCACGCCTGTGTGTTGGGAAATAAGCAAGCGGGTAGACTGGCTGGTTCTGCACCATGTGGTAGTGAAATGATGAATGACAAGCCAGATTTTGTGAGGTCCCTTTGGGAGTGGGTGAACATTGAGAAGGCACAAACTGATCAATATTATCTGAGGACTATGGCACTGTGAGTAGTTACCAGGGGATCTGTCTAACTTTTAACACTCAAGGGAAAGGCTAGACAGATATACAATGCTGAAAATTGGGACGGAGTGTTATGAGAGTGTTGCATGTGCTGTGTGTGTGTGTTGATTTAATTCATCTCTCTCATCTATCTGTCTAACAGACAGACAGACAGACAGACAGACAGACAGACAGACAGTGAAAGAGAGACAGACATTTGAGGGGAGGAGGAGGAGAAAGTGAGAGAGACAGACAGATAGATTGGGGCATTAACAGAATCCTGCTAAAAGATTAACAAGAAACTGTTCTGCAAAGGAAATGCTTTGAGAAGGAACACTGCTTTGTCATCTCAAATCATAAATTTGAAGGTTCAGATTTGAAGGTTCAGAATATTTTCTCAAGGGCTGGAGGTTATATTTCTAATTTTTAAATTGTAAAATATATACAGTAAGTGGCATGGCATCGCAGGTAATCTTGTGGTGTATTTTGTTTGTTTACTTGTAAACATTTTCATAATACAAATAATGCAGTTGAATCCAGTGGCTGCTACAGTCCCCTACATTTTTTGTTTTTGTCTGTCTGATTTAGCCTAGAACCCCAGATTCAACAGAGCATGCTGGAGTTGGGTACATTGCTTTCAAAGGTGAAAGGTGGAGGTCAGGTCTCCCTCTCTCAGCCAAGTCAGAGATCAAGCATACAGCAAGAATCAGATATGGTGCTCAGGCCACTTATGGACCTTCTAGATGGCAGGTAATAGCAAAGCATGATTTCATTTCAACTGATGAAGACTATTCTGTGTCAATAAATTACATTTGATTTAGGTATGTAGCACTGAATTATAAAACAGTAGTCAAAGGGAAGAGAGCAAATGGTAGATAGTGAAACAAGTGGAAGGACAACATCAAGAGATTAATAAGCAGAAGTCTGAGAGAATGTACTACCATGACAAGAGACACAGTGCATTGGAAATATATTCTTGTCAACCATCATGATTAGGATGGCTCCTGATAGACTGAACTAGTGTAAAAATAATTTACACTATGCTGTGACGACATTTATGCATTCAATTTTGAATAGTCCTTTGCTTTAATTCATAAAAACTAAATTAGAAGGGAAAGAAAGAATTCCTATAAACATATTTGAATTGCCTTCTAAAAAAATTAATTAGTCTATCTTCTTTTAAAATCATTTGAATCACATTAAACTTAGTTTCCTGTAGCATTGTCAAGTGTGATTTTAGTTGTGTAACTTAAACTATTTTACTTGATATTAACACAGTATCATAGTAATGTTAATTATTTAATGAGGTCCCAGTATAACTGCAGATCAGTTGCTCTATAACTGCTCTGTTCTTGTCCCAGTGGAAACCACACAAAATGTCTAATTTAAAACTAGTGAAAAACTTGTGAGTCCCAGTAAAAATCTTAAAGCCTGCTCATGCAAAGTAAAAATGCATACAGCAGTTGTCACATGTGCAAACACTAACAGTCACATACCAGAATTGCAGTTCACAGTTGGCAAAAATTATTCATAACAGCCAGCATTGCACCTGCAAAAGTACATGCCATCTTGGACACAGTTGGCCACCTCCATTTTAGTACAGTTGACAACATGCCATGGCACAAGAGAAAAAACATTTCACATGAAATCCACAGCTCACAGTGTCACACCAAGCATTAAACTAGGTAGCTGGGTGATGGAACCCTTGTACTCCTAGTCCAGAAATTTGACATTTGTGTCAGCAAAGCCTAGCTGGAAACAAATAAGTTTTCACCTATCAGCCATCATTATATAATGTTATTAGATGATAAGGAACACAAGAATATGTTGTAATGCCTGTTATTTTTTTTCCTTCACTTTACAACTACCATTACAACAATGAATGAAGCCTGTCAATGTTTGCTCAAGTGTGTGAAAAAACAGTGCTAAAGAGATTACTCAAGGTAAGTTACCTGTAGGATACTCAAATTATATCTTGACATTTCCATATGGGTTCTGGTGCCTTATTTTGGAAGAAAACAGGAATAGATCCTCCAACCCCCCCCCCCCCCCCCCCCCCCCCCCCCACTCCCCTCAATAAGCATGTCTAAGAGTTGACTTATTTTATATACACACATGCACGCACACAGGCACGTACGCACACAGGTGTATATACACATGCACGCACACATACCCATAACTTCCTTGTTAATGTTCTAAAGCATTGTTGAGTTGTTCATTCACTTCTGATAAAAAGGAATGGACTCTGTATTAACTCAGAGAATTTATTGCAGAATTTTCTGAGATTGTTTATTTATTACTGAAGTATTTTTTTTTTACATCACAATGTTGCCAGCCACCTGTATTTTCCAGGACATTACCTGGTACCCATTCAAGGCTGGGTTGGCTTGAAAGCCAAGTTCATTTTTGAAAAAAATTAAAGTTTGGCTCTGTCAGAACTTGAACCCATAAACTTTGGATCTGCAGGGGAGAGTGTAGCAACTTTTTCACGGCGGCTCCCTTGACTACCATACTTGCCTGCCAATCCGGTGATCAAATGTTCAAATACCTATCCAGGCAATTGTTTTTTAATTGATGTCTGCGGCTAGGTTTACCATGTTTACAATAGTTAACAGGAATTGCTCTGCGAAATAGTGAAGCGGCTTAGACATATGCCTGCTGGCGCGAAGTTTTTGAGTTCTAATCTAGACTGAGTTGGAATTTTTTTTTCTCAAAACTGACCCTAGGTCGACCCAGCCAAAAATAGGTACCAGGAAATATCTTTGGATGTAAAGATGGCCTCAGTTATA